CACCATCATCATCAGCATCATCATCATCAGCATCATCATCTCCACTAGCACAACCACCAGCATCATCATCATCATCACCATCATCAGCATCGTCACCATCATAAACAACAGCAATAACAACAACAACAACAATAACAACAACGACGACGATGACGACGACAACCACATCATCATCATCATCATCATCATCATCATCATCATCATCATCATCAAGGTTATCAGTATCATCATCAGACTCCTCGTCCTGGTCATCCTCCTCCTTCTCCTCCGCCTCCTCCTCCTGTTCCACCTCCTCCATCCCGTTTATGAATGAGTTCTCCATGTGTGTTGGTAGGGCGGGCCCGGCGTTTCGCCTGAGACCTCCCCACCATGTATGGTCCTCAACCTTGGAAAATTATGCTAACGGAGCTCCCGACATAAAGATGTTAACGGTTCCGTGGGACCCATGGGGTACGACAACATCAACACGAAGGAGAAGCTCATCGAACGAGTAAGTACGCACGAAAGGGCAGACGAAAGAAAGAAGGAGAGAGGACAGGTGCTCAGGAAACGAATCCTTGTAAATAGTATGGGTTTCCGAAACCCTCCTCGCTCAGGCGGGGCGTCCCTGGAGAGGTGGGAAGGGCACGAAACAATGTAAATAGTATGGGTTTCCGATACCCTCCTCGCTCAGGCGGGGCCTCCCTGGAGGGGTGGGAGGGGCACGAAACCTTGTAAACAGTATTGGTTTCGGATACCCTCCTCGCTCAGGCGGGGCCTCCCTGGAGGGGTGGGAGGGGCACGAAACCATGTACATAATATTGGTTTCCGATACCCTCCTCGCTCAGACGGGGCCTCCCTGGAGGGGTGGGAGGGGCACGAAACCATGTAAACAGTATTGGGTTTCCGATACCCTCCTCGCTCAGGCGGGGCCTCCCTGGAGGGGTGGGAGGGGCACGAAACAATGTAAATAGTATGGTTTCCGATACCCTCCTCGCTCAGGCGGGGCCTCCCTGGAGGGGTGGGAGGGGCACGAAACCACATAAATAGTATGGGGTTCCGATACCCTCCTCGCTCAGGCGGGGCCTCCCTGGAGGGATGGGAGGGGCACGAAACCATGTACATAATATGGTTTCCAATACCCTCCTCGCTCAGGCGGGGCCTCTCTGGAGGGGTGGGAGGAGCAAAAAAACATATAAATGGTTTTGGTTTCCGATACCCTTCTCGCTCAGGCGGGGCCTCCCTGGAGGGGAAGGAGGGGCACGAAACCATGTAAATAGTATGGGTTTCCGATACCCTCCTCGCTCAGGCGGGGCCTCCCTGGAGGGGAGGGAGGGGCACGAAACCACATAAATAGTATGGGGTTCCGATACTCTCCTCGCTCAGGCGGGGCCTCCCTGGAGGGGTGGGAGGGGCACGAAACCATGTAAATAGTATTGGTGTCCGAGAGCCTCCTCGCTCAGGCGGGGCCTCCCTGGAGAGGTGGGAAGGGCACGAAACAATATAAATAGTATGGGTGTCCGATACCCTCCTCGCTAAGGCGGGGCCTCCCTGGAGGGGTGGGAGGGGCACGAAACCTTGTAAACAGTATTGGTTTCCGATACCCTCCTCGCTCAGGCGGGGCCTCCCTTGAGGGGTGGGAGGGGCACGAAACCATGTAAATAGTATTGGTTTCCGATACCCTCCTCGCTCAGGCGGGGCCTCCCTGGAGGGGTGGGAGGGGCACGAAACCTTGTAAACAGTATTGGTTTCTGATACCCTCCTCGC